ACGTTTTATGACCTTTTAAGGCTTTTGCTGATATTTATCCACTTAAAGTAGTACTTCAGTTTTACTCGCCTGCCCATGCACTCTATATTCACACCAGGATTCGCAGTAGGGTAACCTTTGCCACTTTATGAACAAATGTGGTACTCTAGCACGAAATGCTTGAAACAAAGAAACTTTTCACAATGGGAAAAACGGATGAAAAAGAACCCGTCAAAGCCCATTGCTTTACATTCACTAACCCCAAATCAAAAGGAAAACGGAATTGTGTAAGCGTCCCAAAATTACTCGGGTGAGTGCCTAAGTAGCCGGCAGATACCATGAAAAAAGGGGAATTTTCTAAATCTTACCGCCCAGGACTGAAAATAGACAGGCGATAGTAAGCAAAGAATGGGGTCTCTAGTGCACACGCAAAAGTTGAGATCATGAGCTATTACATATGAGGTGGTGCGTTGAACCATATTTTTAGAAGGAAATAAGAATTGAGCTTCTATCGGCTGTATTAGCCTCGTGGTAGCCTCGAGCAGGATGTCATTCCCTTCACCTGCTTTTGTTGAGGTAAGACGCACTGAATAGCTTTCTGGTCTTTAAATGATGTCCACGAGTCCACTATCAACAATGCCGATGTAGGGGAGTCCGGGTCTGCCACCCACCATCGCACATAATCTAGCATCATCATGGCTCATCATATGCGTTTTACTCTCCCGGACCTCCAAATTTTGCGCAGTTCCCCACTCGGTAACAGGTAGGTAGGTAGGAGAAGGTATCAGCAAAGTCCTAAAAGGTCATGAAACGTGATAAAATCACCATGAAAGTATTTCCTAGTCCTGGAGGGAAAAAATCTGTGTAATGCAAAAACTCGGTCTCCTACAAAACCCGAGTCCTAGCCTCTCGCCCATGAAGCGTCACGCTTACCACTACACCNCCTCATAACTGCGTTCAGAGAATCGCTTGGCAGATTTGGAAAGCGGATTTGAACTCAGCGCCCAAAAACACGTCTAGCAGTATAGGTCTTATTACAAATGGCCACTTCGAGTTGGGATCCTTCCCTGGTTAGATCTGTTGTAGATCGCACCGGTCTCTACACGCTCCACCTCTGCTCGTATATTTCTCTGCCATTCTCATCTAGAGATTACTCTTAACTGGATCCAGCACGTGGTACGATGCAGACGGGACAGATGTTGCGACCAGTGAGCGCACCTTTCAAGAGACAGTTGGCATCGGCCAAGTTTTGGCGGAAGGGTGTTCGCCGGATCACGACATCAGAGGGTCAAGGATGGATCAATGTTGCGGAATGAATGTTGAAGTGGATGTTCAATATTGATGGTTGAATTTTTTCAACTTTGAAGGAGGGACAGCTTTTTCTCTTCTGCTCTGTTCCGAGCTCAAAATTTGAAAAGTATGCACTTCTGAGCTGCAACATTCTGGCGAGTTAAGGAGGTCGAAGCTTGGGGACTTCTAAGCTAGTTCTGCGGCTAAATTGTAGGTCAAAAAGTAAAAAAAAAGATTTCAAGAATGACAAACAGCAATTAGGCCTGAGATTCATTACCTTCTACGATTAGTTGCCACTCACACCAGTACTATAAAGCATCTGCTCCTTCTCGAACTCGAAGCGGAATGGTAACGGAACCAATTTACCGTTGGGTTTCACATCGGCTCAGGAAGCTGGCTGTCAGCAGAGGAATACTACCTACTCGGAAGAATGATAACTAAATGGAACTCCAAAGCACCATAAAATTGAAAGTGTGGACCCTTCCGATTACCGCGTACTGTGGAGGGAAAATGGCCTTTTTATTGTTAGACCGGGTGAGGACTGCAAGCTGCTTATCTTCAACTTTCCGAAGCCTCAAGGATTCCTTCGACATGAACACTGTACATACATGGTGGAGTTTCAAGACTGAGGCGTTACGATTTGCCGAGATCGTAAGTGGCAAGTCTTAAAATGCTCATGGTAAATTGCTGATGTCGTGATTCCGCTGTACCGGAATCTACAATAGGTTTGTTATCCTATTTCGCAGTCATGGCCTAATTTGAAAGCGCTCTCATGCGACGACTCAAGCAAAAAACTAATGGCGTACCGCCGTGGATCCGAACCCGTTAATTTACAAAAATGAATCCGGACTCTTATCCGCTGCACCATGGAATCACCTTCTGATTAGCCTTGGCCCTCGGCTATGCCACCCTGCCGATCAGCTTGATTGTGGTTGAACCAAAGTTCTGCTTACCCGAGCTGTCCGATGGGCCGGCGGGCAGTTCGGCTCAGCAGGACCGAGCCCACACCCCTCCATTGGAGGGAGTGTGGGCTCGGCCCTGCTGAGCCGAATTGCCCGCCGGCCCATCGGACCTTCAGCAGCGTATATCATCCTGGATAAACCTGTAAAATTCACTGATTCAGAGAGAGCAGGTAAAGGTAATTGAGGGCGGATCGTTTAAGGAGCAGAGGTACTCTTGTGTAATGATGAGTGAATAGCAACTATGTCGTAAAAGGAAATGAAGCTCAGGCCCGACTGCTGTCTGTTAATTTTGAAAATTTTCTTTCACTTTTTGTTTTACAATTAAGTCGTAAAACTAGCTCAGAAGCCCCCAAGCTTCAAACTCCTTGACTCTCCAGAAAGTTGCAGCTCGGAAGTATATGCTTTTTAACTTTCGAGCACGGAATAGAGCAGAAGAGAGAAAGCAGTCCCTCTTTCCGAAATTAAAAGATTCCAATCATCAATAATGAACAACCACCTCACCACCCTCGATTCTCTCACATCGTTTTCCGACAACCACCCTTGCGCCAAAACTTTGCCGACACCAACTGTGGCTTGAAGTGCAAGCTCACTGATCGTCACAACTGTTCTATCTGCTACGTACCACGTGTTGGTTCCACGCATTGATAATCTCTACATGAGATGTGAGAGAGAAGTTTACTGGCGGCAATGAGAGAACAGACCGATGTGATCCACAACTAATCTAAGAACTGGAATGAAGTGTCGATGTCAATTCTACTATAGAACTGTGAGAACTAAAGTTACTATTGGGCTCCTACCACATTTTGTAAGTTCAATGCTGCTTCTCTGCAGGGGAACCATTGCCACCTGCACTTGAGTTGCGAGCATTTGTGCCTATCAGCAAACCGGTTATCGAAGGGCACCTGGAGCACCCATCCACGGCCCAAAGCCATAAACAGTCCTAGCCCACATATCACATCTATCATTGGGCACTGGCCCCATGAAACAACACTTGCGCCTTTCACACCTCCAGTTCCATTGGCTCTTAAAGCCTTAGCAACCATTGATGTGATGGCACATCTCCCACTCGGTTGAATCAACCACACAACGTTACTAATGGTAAGACCAAAAAGGGCTGACCAACGAATAGGCTTTTCATTTTGAACCCCTTCACCGCCTGCTCCGTACTTTGCACTGGTAAAATCACGTGGTGCAATCTCTTTTTCGGAAAGCGCAAAGAAAAATGAAAGTGAAGTGAGCAGCCTCCGACGGACGGCATCGCTCGCCGAGCAGCTATACCGGCACTATGTATACTGTAGCTTTCACCTTAGAACGAACTTATTTTGACTGAGTGGCCTTAACTCGTATCTGAGCTGAAAACTTTTTCAGGACAAGTAATCACAATACACAAAAACCACCGGAAGCCTACTAGACTTTTTTATGCAAACAACCAGAAAGGAATCCAGAACCTATGCCCACTTCCAATTGACTACCCACAACTTCAAGCCCCTTGCCATCCCTTCAGGCTCACACGCAACGGCCAAGCCTAGAAAACAAGATCTCACGGTGTAGCGGATAAGAGTCCGGGCTCATTCATGAAGGGTGGGATCGGATTTGCGGCGTTACACCACAAATTTTGTGCTTGAGTCTACGCATGAGGCTATAACTAAATAACCGTAACTCGGAGGTTTTGACCCTTTTGACGGCTCTGGCGCTGAAAAAAGTTTGGAAGGAGAGGTCGTGTGGTTTACGAACCGGTTTTCGCGGCCGGAGACGAACATTTGTCTAAGACTACTACAGTAGATGGATGTATTACTCTAGAAGAATTGAACGACAGAGTAAATAAAAATTCAGAGGAGGCATTGATACATTTATTCTGGATTGAATATTCAAAAAAATAATTCATCTAAAACAAACATAATAATATAATTATGACTAGCAATATTAGTGGATGACTAGCAATTGAGCTTTTCCCGTACCGGTAGCGGTAACCGGTGATCACTTCGAGGTACCTGAAAAGGAATGGGCAGAGTTATCGAACAATTCTACAGCTATACAATTTCCTATGCTAGAAAGGAAACCCACTACCGGCCATATCTTCGCCGTAATCCATTTATAGGTTCATTCATTTGAAGGGCAACTGATACAAGCTACTTAACGGGATCTTACGACTAGTAGAAACATAAAGATATGGTGGTCTACGGTAGGAATTCTGATCCGTACTGAACATTCATTTTTGCCTGAACCCTAGTCCTGCCCGTTTCTTCAGTCTGTATTGTACTGACCTCGGATCCTGATCTGCAATGATCTGATCGAAGTTCACAACTCCGCTGAAGATTCCCTCTCCATACGTCGAAAATGGCAATCGCGCATGTATTGAGTTACACTTATCTCTTCTGAAAATCAACCTAATTAGGTGTCGTTTTATCGAAGTACATTCAATTCACCATAATGAGTCATTTAATGATCATTGAAGCTTTCAGATCTGTAAACAATAGATACCCTCCCTTTTTTCTAAGTCTCCAATAAGATTAATCATGAAAATTCGCCCTTGCCAAGACGAACGTGGCCCGAAATTTGCTCCTCAACACCGATTCAACTAGCTGGACACAAGTTATACCCTAATACTGTGACCCTTCAAAAGAAAAGAACTTCTTTCCTATGGACAGAGGAAGGTGACATTCTCGTTAAGAGGGTCAAAATATTGATAGAGACGAATTCGAACCAGAGTGTGCTAATTATGGTGAATTTCGATAGGATTTAATCCGAAAAAGACTGAATCATTTTTTGGAAGGGTGGGTTTGCAAAAAGATGAACACTGCCAACTTTTATGACAACCCCCTCAACGGCCACATCAGAAGACCTTATATGAATGATTCGAAGGAGCTGTGTCGATAACCCAAAATCTCTTTGATATGGGACTGTTGTCAGTTTTTAGAAAGTGAACTACATCACCTGTTGCAAATACACGTCGTTTGATTGAAAGTGTCTTCGCATAATAATACTGCACCGACTCGTCGCAATCGTAGCTCAGAACGTCTGCGGTTGACCTGCAGAAAGTGACATATTGGGAGAATAGGTACTCATTTTAGTTTCTTTTGTCATTCCACTCCACTTATTTCATTTTGCCAATTTTCGCCTCTGTCCATTCTATTTGATTTAAGTATCATAGCACCATTTCGACCGCCCAAGCACCCTCGCTGAAGCCAGTTATCCCTTGATGTCGCTTAGTGTCGTCAAATAAAGTCAGTTATTTTGCACTGGTGCACTGCATTGGTTTGACTTGTAGCTCTACCAGCGCAGCAACAGAGAGAAGGAGAAGTCATGTCCTCTTTCCCATAGATACATTGCAATATGGGGGAAGAAGGAAGAGCAGAAATCACATACACCGTTCAAGCATTCAGGGTTGAGCTCCGGCGTGATGACGGCAACGCCGGTCGTCGGCCGTACCGCGCGAGTCCGGTTTGATGTAGTTGTCATTGGATTTGTTCTCACTTTTTCAAATTGCTCTCGTGTATCCAGTTGATATTTTTCTTCTTTGATTACTACGGTATAATGTTAGCAATAAGTATATTACTAGGTAAGAGCCCTACATAGTTCATTTGGAAGATAACATGCTCCAACGCAAAAACCATCAGCAGCGTCGTGGAAGCTAATGCGGTTTACGAGCGGCGAGCGCCAACCGTTGACACAAGTGGGTTGAGCGCTCGACGCTTTACTCCGAAGGTGCCCATACAAAGGAAGGAGTGCAGCTTTTCGACAGTAAGGGGGAGAGATTTCGTCGTAGTTGACAATACAATATATCTTGAGGACAGATTTCACAACGTCCTCACGAGAAGAATAAACAATATGACCATGTGATCTATGATCAAAAGTCACATGAGGACATCGATGTTTACGATGTCCAGACGGGGATCCCCTGTCCAGGTTTGGTCACGTCAACGATGACGGCATCCGAGAAATGCGCTCAGTCTCAGTTCATCATTTTTCGTGTCTATAACTATCTGTCTATATCTCTATATCCGCGCAGTATTTACGGTATTCTGGTCTCGTGAATTTCGCTAGATATATGCTGTATGCTGGTCTCATGAAAGCCGTTCCGATTAAAGCTATCACGCTAAAGCCAGCTCTCAGACGATTTGTGGTCATGCGGATCTTATACTTACAAGCCCAGGACGAACAATAGGGATTCGATAAATTCGTGCGATTAGTGGATCCTCGATTCTGGGCATGTATTGTCGAATATTGCAGATGTTTGTCGCGGACGAACTCAAGATCTCAATTGTAGGTACATTCGATCTCCTATGTTATACCTGGAGGTTGATCAAAAATTATAGGGATTCTTCTTCCAGTACCGTATCGCACTTGCCGTCTCTTGAAACATTCTTTTCAATCGTAATAGCCCAAGTCGGTGTGATTACTCAATTCATCGAGGTTGTTTTTATCTTGACTTGCTTGCTAGGGACGATCTAGCCTAAGCTAATCTTCGTTTAGCACTACGTTTCAGAAACCCTAGGGGCAGCTACAGCCACCACCAATCCGAAGCACACCCAAGTGCCAACATATGCTGGCGAAAGGCAGGTAAGCAAAAGTGGGGAGCATGACGTACTAATTGTCCACATTCCAGGCACAACGCGTTCCCTCACGTTCTACCGAAAGTACACAGACAAAAACAGTGGGGCTTCACGTGCCTTGACTGCGTGGCGGAGCGAAAAAGAGGTCGTGATGTAGGACCAGCACAACGTATCAAAGTGTGTGAAGAGACTCAAGCAAAACGCTTGCGACTTTTCATAACTAAAATTCAAGGTTATCGGTAACGCATTTCTGACTGATCCCTGCAGCATACATCACGTATGCCTTATCTGCGAAGAAAGAGCAAATCGGCATGTATACAAGGTACTTCTTCGTGTTCAACGCTGAACACAATGCTGTATTCGAATTTCTTAGGTGGCGCAGAACACAAGGCGAAATTCGTCATACGCAGGGAAGAGACCCGCTCAAACCTATCTTGATATTATAGTAGCACCCTTCGAAGTTGAAATCTTCGTGCATTTTCGTGGTTTGCTGAATCAAACCAATTTTTGATTCGACTTTGCTTCAGAAGAACAGAAAGGNTCGTGTTCAACGCTGAACACAATGCTGTATTCGAATTTCTTAGGTGGCGCAGAACACAAGGCGAAATTCGTCATACGCAGGGAAGAGACCTGCTCAAACCTATCTTGATATGATAGTAGCACCCTTCGAAGCTGACAACGGTGAAATCTTCGTGCATTTTCGTGGTTTGCTGAATCAAACCAATTTTTGATTCGACTTTGCTTCAGAAGAACAGAAAGGCTCTATTAGGGCTTCAATATGTCGATTAGGATATCAGGTTCGAAGAAGGGTGTAGGCCAAGTGTGATTCCTAACTAGTGCGCTTGTTAAGGTGTGTATTCTGTTTGGTTCAGCAGCGTTGGCAAATTGGTGAATAGATCTGTCAACATAAAGCATGTCCATTTGGATTTTAGAAATCTGCGCGACGGCTCAACTTTTCTGCAGCACCACACTTCCTGCTGCACATCTACTTATCTTTGCGACCATTAAGTTTGATGACTTATTACATGAATCCTGGAACTGCATGATTTAAAGTTGGTCTCGAAGATATTGTGGGGTGGAGCTGTTTGATTTTCATAAATTGATTCCATCCTTTCAGGCTCCGACAAAGGTGGTTTCACCGAGACGTTGCCATTAACCTATTGTAACCTCGTGTGGAGTTGTACAAATAAAGTTATTTCGATATTACATGAGTATCTCTTAAGGCGGTAATCAACTTAACATTCAATTCAGAAGGCCAGGACTGCACAGCGTTGTGGCACGCGCTGCATCCCAAAACGCTCGACTACCGGGAAAAAGGGAGCGAACCCACGTGAAAACTTTTGAAATGCTCAAAGCAAATATCACTGGAGATGCACCTGAGCGGGTGGTTCTCGACTTTGGAAAAGCAGGTATAGAAGCTGCTCGCAAGGTCTTTCAAAGGGCATCTGTGGAAGGCTGTGAATTTCACCTTGCACAAGCTTTGAATCGCAAAAGATATTTCCTGGAGCTGAGGAGATACATACATCGCTGGACTGGGAAAGGAGGAGCCACTCACGGAGTGGTGGGAAATAGTGAAAGGTACGTGGACAAAGCAATTCTTTCACTGACTGGCACGAACGATTAACTTTTTTGCTTTTTCAGGGGTGGTATTTCTTCCCCGACTACTGGTGTAACGGGTGAGGGCTCTCCAAACTCCCCCCCCCCCCCCCCCCCCCCCCCCC